TGTGTTTGTCCCCTAATGCCTTGCCTTACCGCAGTCTTTCTTACATAGCGGTCTTGGCGCCCAAGTCTTCATGTTAGTCCATAGACGGGGTCGCGTCCTGTAATTAAAACCATACTTGCAGTCATCCACATCAAAGTAGTCCAAGTCCAGCGCAAACGGTTGTTGCTTCGACAGTCCCGTGTGGGGGTTTTCAGTCACATGGTCTTTAGGGTTGAAGTAGTCAATGATTCCAAGCGTCTTCAACATCTTCGTAACCCCGTTGTCTTTGCTCTGCTGTATTCGGTGCAGGGAGGTGATGTCGGCGATCTTCAAGTCCAATGACACAAGACCCCAACCAAAAACCTTGGCAAAAGAGACAAGAGAGAGACCGCAAGAGCTGAGGGATGCGTGGATGGTAGGAGTAGGGAGAGACCCAACATGTCGTTTTCGTCGTCAGACCCAACATGCCTTGTCCCCCCACTTCCCTTCGCGCATCCGCCCCGGCCACAGGTACTCCACCACAACGCGACGCGCGCAGAACCTCCACACCTTCCTCCGGAACACCGACTACGAGCAGGGGCGATACGACCGGGTCGTGCGTCCGCGTTTTTTTGTAGTTGCAGGATATATATATAGGATTATAAGTGTAGCAATATTTATGATCGTATTTAGTCCTTAGATGTTGAAACAAAGTTTTCAAAGTCCGCCGGCAACAAAACTTCACTAACCAGATCTTCCGAAAATCTGTATAACTCGTCCTGAGATTGAAAGGATTGGTATTCCAGTCGCTCTTACACAGTAAAGCGCTGTGCTGTTTCTATGTGTTTGTCCCCTAATGCCTTGCCTTACCGCAGTCTTTCTTACATATTGGTCTTGCGTCCAAGTCTTCAAGTTGGTCCATAGACGGGGTCGCGTCCTGTAATTAAAACCATACTTGCAGTCATCCACAGCAAAGTAGTCCAAGTCCCGCACAAACGGTTGTTGCTTCAACAGTCCCGTGTGGGGGTTTTCAATCACATAGTTTTAAGGGTTGAAGTAGTCAATGATTCCAAGCGTCTTCAAGACTATTTTATTCGCTTCTTCAAATACCCCTAACACCCGTTTTTGCTCTGCTGTATTCGGTGCAGGGAGGTGAGGTGTGTGGATATTGCTTGTAGTTCCACACACCTCAGTTGATGTCGGCGATCTTCAAGTCCAATGACGCAAGACCCCAGCCCAAAAACCTT